CTCTCTCTCTCTCTCTCTCTCTCTCTCTCTCTCTCTCTCTCTCTCTATCTCTCGCTCGCTCTCTTGTATCTGTCTCTGCCTGTCCCTGTCTGTCTGTCGTATCTGTCTGTCTCTCTTGGTCTCTTCTCTTGCTCGCAGGACTCCCCCACTCTGAACGAACAGACGCATCTGGACCAGAAGCACGGAGCCGGTTCAGAGAAGGGCATGCCCACCACGAGAGGGTTAACTCTGTCAGAGGTGGGAATCTGTAATCCTGACCGTCAGTGTCTCTGTCTACCTAGGTTCGCCATCGTGCTTTGTACGAATCTGGTTTCTGTCGTTGATGATGGTGTTGTTATTGTCATTTTCTTGAGCTTATGTTGTTGTGCAGGACGATGTTGATGTTGATGTTGATGTTGATGGTGTTGGTTGATTATGTGGTATTGTTGTTGCATGTCCCTACGGTGAGAAGGAAACGGAGTTTCCGACTGAAGTTGTCGCTGTTGGTAGTGGTGAAATCGTTGTTGTCGTCGTTATTTCATCGCTTTATCGCATTGCTGTTTCGGACTCAGATATGGCACACGATTTGTCCAACAACCCCCCCCTTTTTCTTCCCGACACCCGCGCGGCCCAGGCGCCGAAACGGAGGCAAAAGCTCTCATGTGTAGTGGATCTTCGGCACTTTTATCCGCGCGATAAGTTGATCATATATCCCCGTGGGCAACGACGACGAGAGGGTAGCGCTACCACAGGCGTGGTTTTGTTTTGCGACCGCGCACACGACGCTTACAAAGTGCATGAGGTGCCTTGCGTGGTGAAGGGGAGGGGGTGTCCTTGTCACCTGCCGGTTGTGAATGCGGGTCCAAGGTCCCGCACAGGAGCCGTCCGCGATATATTCGCCTCTCGTTGCCCCGTGCGTTTGTTTTGTGGGAAAATTTCGCCTCAACCTTCCTCATATCCTCCATCTGTTGCTGTCGATCAAACAACTTGCGCATGAGGCGCGGCGTCGGCGATTGGTTTATTGGGGAGAACGTAGGAACTACAAGTAGCAACAGAGTAGAATAGCTTAGATCTGAACTGCGTTCCACGAATATCATGTCCGCCGGTGCTTTCTCTAGGAGGGCGAACGGAGAGCACGTTTCTGGCTCGCTAGCCGACAATCAGTTTGAAATCAAATTTTGGTTGTCTCATGCGGTATACCCAAGCGCGACAGTGTCGTGTTTCCAGCCCATGTGTTTGTGTGCGTGTTTTTATTTTTTGCATCGACCGCGCTAACCGGCTGACCAATGAAAAGACGTCAGTCTCAGTGCGTTTGAAAACACAAAATACTTCTAAATGCCATTAACTGGGACCCCCCGTGAGGGGGCGGCATGGGGTGTGTGTGCGTGTTTGTGTTTTTTACATACTGTACTCTCCCACCTCCGGCTTGAATTACTTTTTCTTTAGGTGGCAACGGTAATGCACATGGCTCCCGGGGCGATGCATTTCGACGCCAAGCAAGGCCGATTCGTCGTCGGCCCTCGCAGCCAGGTGAGGCAACGCATGCACCGCTTTGCTGCGAAATCTTTCCCCCCCATCGCCGCCTACCACTAAAGTGTGCCACCATGGTACTGCGGAATAGTCGACAGCCATTTGTCTCCGGTTTTGGGCGGAGAGGTAAAATACCCAACCGCTCTTACTCCGGCAACGTTATGCTCGAGTACTGTGCTTCCCAGCAATACCGACACAGCGGTGCACTCCGAAATTTCACCCTTTATTTCAATGGTTGCTGCGGGCACCTTTCCTCTCTCTATTTCAATCGTTGGCGTTACTGGTGTCTTGGCTGTGCTGCTTAGACCGCCCCCGGTATCTCCATATGCCAACAACGACTGCGCACTACCCTCCCACCATCGTCGCAGGCAAGCTGTACGTAAATGACGCCGCTTTTCGTGTTGCGACGAAAGGTCGGCCCTGACCGTGGAAAGAAATAATCATTCCCTCTCCAGAAAACATATGCGGTTGCAGATGACGTGAACAACGAAACGTGTATCCCCTTTGCACGTTGGCGCGACCGACGTTTCGTCTCATACCGCCTCGTGACGAGCAGCGACCGACCAAGACAGGCCGGAATCGAACCATCTCACAGACACGCACACGCGCATATCTGCCGCCACCTATCTCATCCGTCGCCCGTGCGGTGTCTTCCAAGACGCACTCGGCGCACGGAATGCCTGCATGCACTACTTTTGGTAAATCTCGGCAGCCCCTTCGTAACCGTATGCCTTCTCCGTACATTTCCACAAAATGCATGAGTATTTTTTTTTGTGAATCTCGGCAGCCCCTTCGTAACGTATCATTCATTCATATTCATTCATTACTCATACCGTTTATTCATGTTTGTCCTCTGTTAGGTTAATCTGGGCGAGCGAAGGGCCGTGACGGCTATCCTGGTGCTGTGCGGCCTCCCGTATGCGTCCTTCAGCGCCATACTGGCCCACGAGGCCACGCACGCCTACCTCAAGCTCGACCCCTCCTTCTCGTCTCGACTACCGGCGCAGGTGGGGGTGCCGTGGGGCTATAGTATAGCGTTTGTTGTCCGTGCCGAGGAGGGTGGCGCACATGTGCACTTTTTTTTTGAAGCCTCTTGAGACAGACGAGATCCAAATTAGCCCTCTTTTTTAGGGCCGGCTCTCGTTTCTGTGGGGAGGCGTTTTTTTTGTGTCTTTTCCTTTTGACGGGCGGGCTGCTGGTCGAGCGCTTGGTGCTACGGGAGGCGATGGTGGCTTGTTGTATGTCGTCCGTACGGCAAAGCCGGCTGCTTTATTGTCCATATTTTTTGAAGGAATGTTCTGGCTTCTATTCGGCTGCATGCCCGGCACCTTCCTTCCATGGGCGGTGCTGCGCGTTTCACCCCCTAGCGTACACATGTGGGGTACGGGTACAACACGTTGTTAGTTCGCTTCCTCCAATTGCCCACGCGCCCTGAAACCATAGACACGCACTCCGTATTGATGCCTTGTCCGGCCACTTTTGCGTCTCCCCTGCTGTGCGTCACAGCACAGACAGCCCCCCTCTCCGCATGCGCAAGAACATTATTTCGAGGACGACACAGAACCAACCATAACCCGCTAGTCTCATCATCAGCGAAAGGCACCGAACAAATTGTTGGAGCACATTAACAATGCTACAACGCATGGCCACAGGTAGAAGAAGGCATCTGCCAGTTGGTCTCCCTGCTGTGGCTCGAGCACCTCGGGGGGAGGGGCACCGGCGACGAGGAGGTGCGGCAGCGCAGGCGACGGGGTCCCGGCCACGGAGCCCCCCCCTCCAATGAGGAGCTCCGCCAGTTCTTCGTCCACCAGATCAAGACCGATACCTCGGTCGTCTACGGCGACGGTTTCAGGAAGGCGAAAGCGGTGTACGACGCTGTTGGCTTGGAGTCTCTGCTAGACCACGTGAAACGCTACGATAGCTTCCCGGCGATTTGACCTTCCTCTTTTTCTCTTGCTGCCTGGTGATGCTACCAACATATTGTCGCCTCATGGTACATAGAAGAAGTTGGTCGATGGCTGTGTTTTTGGTCAGAAGGGCGTCTAGGCCGTTTTCCGTGTGCGTTGGAGAGTGCGTCCCGTCTCCCCTCCCCCACACGCGCGTTTTGTGTGTTTCACCGCGTGAGAGTATTAACTCGCAGCTGGTCTCTGCCTTGTTGTACCTTCCGCATGTTCTACCTCTAGTTGTTTTTGATACCCTGTTGCCTGGGCGACCTGGATGAGTGCACACGAAACACTCTCCGATCATTACATGGAACTCGCGGAACCAGCCCAGAATAACGGGTACTGGTAGGCGTGCAGCTCATCTCGACACGGTTTTCACACTGGTATTTTGGGGGAGGGCGAGAGACGAACGGGTGCTACATTTATCATTTTTGTTGACGGTGATTAAAGATGGTGTGCCCCCTGGAAAAAACGTTGAGGCGTGCATGTGAGAGACATGGACGGAATTCGTCAGAGGGCAGATTTGGTTCGAGCGTGGACACGGAGCGGCGGATAAAATCTTAGACGTAGAGAGACGGGTGACGAGGGTGAATTACGGTCTCGCCAGCCGCTTCCCCGGGTATGGGCGCTGATGAGCTAAGCTGCTCATACGATCGTTGCTCGCTTGAGATGAGCTGAGGAGTGGAGGAAGGAAAGGTGGTTCGTTCTTGTTGGTGCAGAGCAGTGAGTTTTGCGATTTTTCTTGTGTTTTTCTTCGTATTTGTTGTGGGTGGTTGTCCCTTTGTGGTTCTGTTGGCCGGGTCTTCGCCCCTCGGTGTTCGTTTTTCGCACAACGTGCATATCATGGTCGCACAGGAAGAGGGGCTCGTCTACACCAGAACAATTGCCTTCTTTCTTTTCTCCTTTTCTCCTTTTCTCCAACGTGCGAACACGACGAGAAGCAATTCCCACGGGTTTTGACGCCTACAGCTTGGGGAAGAGGCACAGTATCGTGCGAGTGTATGTAGTGAGAGCCGATCCGTTGCTGAGCGTGCCGCCACCCCTAAAGAATAAGGTGTTAATAGCCACACAACAGCAGTCGAAGTCGAGCCGTTGGTCGGGTGTGCCGACCAGGAAGTGGCAAGTGCCTTTGTGGTTGTAGCGGCGAGTCTTGTGGCGGCGTGGTTGACAGTAAGTAATCTAGACTGTTGTGAAATGTCTGCGTGTTCATGTCTGCGTGTTGTTATTTTTAGCACCGGCCGCGCGCTAACCGGCTGACGAATGAAAAGACGTCAGTCTCAGCGCGGCTGAAAACGGAGAGCGATTCTAAGCGCTACGCACGTCAGTGTGTGTGTGTGTGTGTGTGTGTGTGTGTGTGTGTGTGTGTGTTTTGTGTGTGCTTTTTTCGGGTGTGGCTCGTTGTTGTCCTCTTGGTGGTGCAGTACGCGTGCATGCATATTCATGGTTTTCTTGGCAACCGCTCGCTTGTTGAACCACCACGCCTCAAACCATGCCCCTGTTGCTTGAGGCCCGATAATTTCGTGATTTTGCTTCTACTGCTGTATGGATGTATTTGTGTCTTTCTGTCTTCACGTTCCCCACGCCTTGGTTGTTGTGATTTCACACGGGGATTGTTTGTCTATCTATCTTGTCTCTTGCAGCAGGGGCCAAATATGTTCCCGCACCCATTGCACGATTTTTTTCATTCACTTGCTTTTTTTTTCGTACCTTGTTTCGTTGTACCTTAAATAAAGGCTGTTTCTGAGTAGGGAGTAGTAGGTGGTGGATGGTGTAGTCTATCATTTTTTCTCCGCGGCAGTGGGTCCGAGCATGTCTTGGGTTGAGCCGCGGGTGTCAACCGCGAGCTCTCTCCCCATGTTTGTCCAGCGGTCGGATTGAAACGCTGTGGGCATCCTGCTGGTGTTGATGGTGTACCCTGACCGAAGCGCTGTAGCCGGAGCATCTTTTGAGATGCTGTGTAGCGTACGAATGCCCTTGTGCTTGATAGTTGCCATATTTTTTTGTCCTTCCTTGACTGGTGTTTTGACTGCACCAGGGACGACGTGAGCATGTGTCTCGTTGTTTCTGACAGGCTTGTTGACCGTGTGTTCAAGCGTTATAGTGTGTGTTTGGGCGGCTCTCGCAGCTCTGCGTAGTAAGAGTCAAAAGAAGCGTCATATTGTGTGTGCCCCAGGTGTCGCTTGGCATCAGGGTTTGTTAGACTGTACTTCTATACTTCGCATTGTAGACTAAATATTTTGTTTGTGTACGAACAACGATGAATATCATCGTGCCAATTATTGCACCTCTGCTTGCGTTGTTTTTGATTGCTCGCTGATGTGGAAAGAGAGAAGGATTGATGACAATATGTCACCCGGTTCCATGCCATGCATGCATGGTGTTCTGAGACAAAATACCTTCGAAATGCCATACACGTCACACAGCACAAGACGAACTCCGAGGGAAATCATCGTGTGCTCATTTTCACCGATCGATGCTGCCGGATAAAAAGATGGAAGAGAAGGAGCGTGAAATGAAATTGATACTAGTACGTGTGTAGGGTCAGAAACCTGACGTTTCTGCTTGATGACCTTCTATTTACACGCGATCCAAGGAGCAAGACTCTGGTTGTACACGTAGTGATGCGTGTACGGGGGGCTTTTGAATCCGCAGTAAAATGACGGTCGCGTCTGGCCGGGTCACATTTTGACTACGTGTACACCACGGACCGAGTCTTTGCTAGATTTTGGGATTACAGTGGTATTTTTCCGGCCCCCAGCCCAGGCACAATTGATTAATATCTCCACTATGCAGACGATTCACACAGCAAACTATATATCATGTGAAAGCTATGAACGAGAGCTTTCGAATGAACACACTTTTGGCTGCGGCAAACAAGATGGGCACGAGCTACGCTTGGTTGACCGTTTTCATAGAATCGGCGAGAAATGGGAAAAACGCGCAATCGACGACGAAGACTTTTTTTGCCGCAAAAAAAAGTTCCATTTTTGGAATCACCGCAAAAAATGGGTTCTAAAAACGTTTGGTTGGAACCTCCGAGCGTCTCTGCATACAGTAGCAGAGGAAAATTTCAAATTTCTCAGGGCGTGCAGGGTACGCTTTTGCCACAGATCTTGGGCGGGACCATGGACCCCGATACAGATGCGCTGCTGCATGTGAAGGGAACTCTGCCTGCTGAGTACGAGCTCGGAGAACTCGAGGTGCACAGAGGGGCTCCACGAAAGTACCGCATTGGTCTGAAAGCAAGACACAGCAGCCAGGCCGGCCAGCCGTTACTTCAGTGGCACAGCCGGACGTTCACCACGAAGAGTGCACGTCGCAGAGACAGAGCCGCCGAGTCTCAAGCATGCAGAACCATCACAGCGCAAACATGGTTAGACCTTGCAGCAAAGACCATCCAGCATGAAGCGATCCAGCAACCACCCTCCCGGGTTACAACGGGTGTCAGACTTGCAGCTCCCGCACCTGGTTCTCTTCAAGAACCTGGTGTTGGAGGCGCCGAAAGGTTGCGAGAAGGGTGCGGCGACGCCAGAGAGGGCGCCGGGAGGAAGAAAGGAAGCCTAGGAAAGAGGGCCCGGCGAGAAGAAGGACCTCAGCATGAGCATGGAGCATGTTCTGGGAGAGCAGCGAGACTTCAAGGAAGTTGACTCTAGTCTGGTGCTGTTGATGCGGCGGCACGGGGGAGTCTGCGTGATGCTCCCCAAGTACCACTGCGAGTGCAACCCCATCGAGCTCGTTTGGGGCCGTGCGAAGGACTGGACGCGCCAGAACTGCACATATTCGATGAAATGCTTGCGCAAAAACGTGCCGTTGAGCTTTAGACCGGAGAAGGACAGACAGGCCATTGCGGTAGTCCAGGCTTACTGCAAGAAGGCTTACACGCATGCCCTCGTGTACCTGAAGGCACGTGCACAAGGACCCACGGGCAAGGAGATCTACAAGAAATTCAAGTCCCACAGGCGCCCGACGCCGAACACGTGGAGGAAGTAGAGAGGCATGCGTTTGTATTCCTTGTGCTGTCCAGCACTGACTTTCCCCCCCTGTTTTCGCCAAATTTTCTCAGTTTTTTTACCTGTTTTTTTTTTTTGTGTGTGAATACACGTATTTTGTGCGGTTGCTCGTTGCCAAAAGTTGCTGTAGGGTGATACAGTACAGTAGGTGAAGGGTACCTGCGTTTGTGCGGTGTTTGGGGGTGTTTTACTCGACGTGACGCATGTTTGCAACCAAAAAAAAGAAAAAGAAAAAAGTATCGACGCAAAAAAGAACAAAAATGGTGCAAAAATGACCCAGGACGGGGGTTCGAGCCCCGGCGAAAGGCATAATTTTCCTTTTTTTTTTCCGACTCGCTACTCTTTTGCGCCTCTTCGCGGGCGTTAATAACATGTTTTTTTTGTTTTTTTTCTCTACTTCAGTCAAAACTTATGGAGGGACAACGAAATTCGGCCTCAGGAAAAATACCACTGTTGCATGACACGAGTTTAATGTGAAGAAAACAACAACAACACTCCCTCGCCCCCTAAAACAGCGACGGCTACAGCAACAGCGAAAGCGGTGGCGCCTCCCCCCAACGTAAACGGACGGACGTGGGTGTGCCGCGCTGATCATCTGCTGCTGTTGTTCCTTTCCGGAACAAGGCATCTTCCATTTTTGTGGTCGAAGACGACTTTCTTCAGGGAAGGAGCAAGTTTCGTGCTACAAGTTAACGGTTCCCGCGTAGATTGACCTGGAATATCGATACCAACCCGAAATTTGACACGACGAGAGGTTTCGCCGCGTTTTTCGGGCGAGAATTCCTGGCCAATATTTTCTCTTTATATGTGCGCGTGTACTTTTGATCCTCAGATGGCTCTAGCACTTTCGTGACCACGGGCTGAGAGTCTTTGCTAGATTTTGGCATTTAGCAATTGACATACGGTTTAATGTGAAGACAACAACAACAATAACAACTTTCTGGAATCGAGGTAAATATCCCGTGCAAAAAATAATGTTGGCACGAGTTCCTCTCCGAAGCACAAAAGCAAGCAAGTACATAGTCTAGTCGACATGCGAGCGCCTCTCTATTTGTTCAAGTTTTCTGCAGTACTCCGTACACAGCAGTACCAGAAGTACGGTGGAGCTTGAATAGCAATGTTAAGCTTATATCCACCGTTGTTAGCCGTGATTTGGTTTTAGGGTTAGCTTAGGGCGGGAGTTAGCAAAAGTGGAGGAGGAGGAGCAGCATTCCGTACTTGTTGTTTCCATGAGTTTTACGCGGAATGCAAGGGCCCCAAAAGCTCCTTGCAATTAAATTGCAAGATGTCAGGCCTCGTGCACAAGGTGAAGACAAATCACGTGTTCTTGTGCATGCGAACATTCGTTGCTTCGCCCGTGACAGATGTTAACCAGTTCAACCTCACGCGGGCCATGGCGAGGGACGCGGAATGGGAGAAGGCGTACCGAGCTATCCAGAAGCTCTGTCCGGCGGGGGAGAGGAGTGACACTTTGAGGCCTGGCGTCTGGCTTCAGGTGGTGGACACATTCCTGGAGCCTCAGCAGATGTCCATCAACAGGAAGGGCAAGAGCCGAGACGTGTTCGTCGACTACCAGCGCAACCGAGTAAGAACCCAAGCTGGTGCTGTGAAGAGCGTAGAGGGTGCGGGATGTGGCGACGTAGTCATATCCTACCGTGCTTTGCCGTGCTTGTTGTGCTTGTCAAGTAGAGATCGTGCATGTCACCTTCGGTGTCCCAAGAGAGCGTTCTTGAACATTATTTTGCTCTGCGGCTTGGAGGTAGTCGATGGTGATACATGTGGCGCAGAACGAGGCTGCAGCACCGACTCACTTGTCCTCTACCCCAAGCACACACCGTCACCTCACACAGCCCGATCACGCTACCGTGCCGTGTCTCGTGCTGACCCCCGTCATCCCATCCATACCGCACTCGTGTCGGGTATCTTGCCTCCCGAAAAAATTGTAGCCCCCCGTCGACATGGTGAAGCTGGCGCAATCGATCGAGAGGGGATGGAACCGCGCGAAGGCGGCCTTCTTGGCAAATGAGCAGGCCGCGTCCAAGAAGACCGGAGAAGGGACGATGACAGCGGAGCAGGAGAGCGAGATGATCGCCGATAACTCGGAGGTACGACGAACTGTTCTACATAGGACGATCAAGTAGAGTTTGGCCGGTCGCATCCTTACTTGTTGTGGTTGAACATTGTGGCTCTGTCCAAGGGTATATAGTCGAGTGGGCCGGCGGTTAGATAGGTCGCCTGTGGTCGTCAGGAGGTTTTGCCAATCGTAGAGTCTTGGTAGAAGACGAGGCTTGCAGCAGCTTCGGGAGCCAATCGGTGTTTGGTTTCGGAGTCGCGCGACCCACCTTGTACTCGGTTCCCGTCCCGTCTCTCTCGCCTACGTTGCCGGTCCAGGACTACCATCTGATGTCGTCCATACAGTACCAGCAAGCTGCGAAGGAGCAGGCGATAGCGGGCGACACGGTTGCGAAGGAGCACAGACAGGACGGCATGAGGGTGCGGGACAAGGCTGCGGGTATCTCCCCCGGCGGAGGTGCCTCCGGTCCTTCAACAGCCAGGGGTGGAAAGTCTGGTCGCGGGCGAGGCGGAGGTTCCGCCCGCGGTGCCTCCGACCGTGTCGGAGGTATTGCGCGCGGGCGGGGGGCTTCGGGGAGTGCGCGCGGTAGCTCGGCCGGCGCGGGTGGGCGTGGCCGATTCCACCTCGGGGTCCCGAGGAGGCGTTTTTGGAACCAATTTTCATCCTTTGCACAAAATAATGTTGTCGCTTGAGCAATTTCGCGGTGGTTCCCACGCGAACAATTGCCGTCCGGTCGTGCGCGCCTCCGAAAATGAAGCAGGGTTGACAGACAGACAGACGGACAGAGAGGCCGAACGGGCGCTTCATTGAACAACAGCTCGCCCCATACCCCTTCCGTGCCTACCCTGTGTGTGTTGATTCATCCGCATTAAGCATAGCGTTTGATGCACGTGGCACTGGGCCTGCTGCTGTAGGTGAAAAAGAGATCTACCCGCCGCATGCATACCATTAGACTATAGTCTAGTTTTTTTACCGGGTGTAGCAAATATATTAGTTCATCCACATCCTACCGAATGACATAAGTTTTTATCGTTGAACTGGGAGAAGCACTCCTTTCGCACTCCATTCACGTACGTGTGCTCTGACGCTCTGGCGTGTCTTCTCCAACAAAACTGTGGTATCTTCAAAGCAGCCAACGCGGACGGACGCAGTCGGTGGCTCTCCGTTAATCATCTCGACGGGTAATATTTTTTTCTGCATGTACGTGCAGTGATGTCTGGCGGACCAACTCTCTTTTCGGTGTACGTTTCTCGGGTTGCCGTATCTTTAGCTTCTTGTCCAAGTGTTACATTCTCGGATATCAACCTCCGCACCTCCGCTAGCCGTTGTTCGCGCGGCCACCACTTCTTTGCAATAAATTACGAGCTTGAGCCAAAACATCCACAAAGAACGCACGAGAGAGAAAAGGCGCTCAGTGAAGAAGCCTACTCCCACACCACAGCCTATATTATCGCCGTGGGAGTGCAGAACCCAATATCAAACCAAGAAGCGAGTCTAAGGCCAAAATATGCGGGTGGTGCGTTCCGCATGTGCCGTGTGATCGTGCGATCAAAGGGCATTTGAATGCTTTCTTATCGCCCTAGGGCGATTTCCCACCATGTTGTTCTGTGAGTCTGAAAGAGTGACGGGCGCTTCCTGTGAAGCTGGGTATTTCTCGTTTTCCTCAAAAGATGAATAGGAAAAGAAGAGGTGGTGAGAGTATAGAGAGAGGCCAAGGCCATATATATTGATGATGTGAAGAAACATGGTCAAAAGATAGGAAAATCCCGCAGCAGCAGTAGTAGTCTACGACAGCAGCAGCGGTATTCCATCGAAGTCGCAGACACACAGACCCTCACACACTACATTTCGTTAAGTCCCCGCAAGTGCACCTCCCGACACAAGCAAGCCCTCCCTACGTACAGCCCCGCAGGCGAGATCTTTCCAACGCCTACACTTCAGCCCGCACTCTATGGGTGGCGGGTCTGTCTATCTTGCCATCTATTGTTGGCGCCTCTCGTTAGCGCACAAATCACAAAAATATAGACTAGCCAACGTTGTTCTTCCGACGCCCATCACCATCACCTTCGAACTCTTGAGCAAATAAAAACGTATGTAAATGTACCACCTGGATGGAGGAGGGGGGGTTCAACGCAAGGCCGGGTTACCGTCAAGACACACCGCCAAGGTGCACACCGTACCCGCCCTCTCTTAAGGTGCCTACTACCGCCGAAATGAGACAACGAAATACAGCCAATGAAACGCGCAGTGACATGAATAGTCCCAGCAAAGGCCGTCTATAAAACGCCTTCCTCCTCCTCCTCCTCCTCCACCTCCTCCGCGCCGAAACACCAAAAAGTTACCTTCGGCTCGACAACCCTACCGCCAAGAAACCCCGCGCTTTCATTTATCCTCTCAACAGATGGTGGGTGTCGAAACAGTGGTCGAGAAAAAACGACAGAAAACCACATGTAAACAAAAAAAGCGGGGGTCGGCGCATGTCATCGTCAAGTGGTATTCGCCAAGCACACACCGACGAGGTATCCTGCGGCATGATGAAAACAACAAATAAAAATACCAACTCCAACGCTTGAACACAGCACCCTGCAGGTGGCAGCCAGGTCTGGTTCGACTCCGACTTCCCCCGGGGAGAAAAACGATGCGTGTGTGCGTACGAACTTCACTTTCTAGGAAGGCTGCGATGCACTACCGTGGCAGCAGCATTATCTACACCGCTCTTGATATACGGTAAATCCAAAACAATTAATACAACGAGTCATAGCAGACGATGCAGACAAAAAAACGCGGGGCGTTACTACAATGTTCGGCCGCTACTACAGTGCCAAGAACGAAAATAAAAAACAACAGCTTCATGTGATGCAAAGCGAAGCACAGCAGCAGCAGCAGTAGCAGCAGCAGCAGCAGCAGTAGCGCCCCGCACGTCCAAGACTAACAAACTGTAACCTCCCATGAATAACCACCGCAAGGTCAGACAACGACCCCCACACCCTATCCCACAAGGGAGAAAGTGCAGAGGGCACGACTACGACGACTACATGGACAAAGAGACAAGAAAAACAAAAAAAAACAAAAAAGAAGAAAAACGGGAGAAAACGGTTTACCACCAGCAAGAAGGGAGCTCGTGCCCAAACAGGATAGGCCCCTGGGTGGGAACAGGACCGACCCTTCCGTCCGTTTAGGAGGCAAAAACACCACAGAGAGTATTCACAGAAACAAATAACACTCCCCAACACCGTAAACAACAACACGTACACGGGAGGGAGAGAGAGAGCGTACTTTTTGATTACAATTACTAGGAAGTCTTGCAAACTTCGAAGCGGCATGCATTTTTGTTAACTGTTTTTTTCGTTTTGTGGAAGAGATGCGGTGGGGCCCGAAGAGTTCTTCCAAATCCGGGCATGCGCGAGCAAAACGACGAACGTACAAAAAGAAAAAAACGAGGCGCAAGAAAAAAGCAAGAAAATGAGGAACAAAGAACAAATAGGGGCTTTGACGACACATCAAGAAAATATTCAAGAGGGGGCAGCGAGTCTCGACCGTGACAGCAAATAGTAGCTGGTCATCAACTTCTGCTTGCGGGAGCTCGAGTCTGTTTGTGTGTACCCCGCCCTTGCAGGAATCGGAGTTCGTTTCCAGGCTGGTTGATGATGTCGAAACAGTTCCTGGGCAATGTTTTTGATATTTTTTCATCACTGGTAGATGGCCATGGGAGTCACGACCGCCTCGATGTCGCGAATGTCCCCAACGTGGAACTCGAAGCCCACAACGACAGACTTGGCTTTCCTGCTCCGCAGTTTCTGGTTCACGCTCTCCTTAAACCTGTCGGTGTTCGCACAAGCGTCGCAAACAAAATCGCCCGCAGCCGTGAGGTCGTCAAAACATCCATCGCGAAAGCATCACTGGTATGCATAGGATGCGCACATAAGAGCGTGGTCCGACGCGGTACGCTACGGAGAAAGTGAAAGGCGTTTCTGCGGTCATACGATGTCGTCGCCGTTGCCTCGCGGCGTCACGCGCACGCACGCCATTCGTTTTTTATGATACTTTCGTGCTACGTCAACCTTGCGGGCGAACGAACACCATCACGCAATACACACACCAGTCACCGCCACGTCCAAACACGCGGTGAAAAGTGTGATTGATAGCTTCAGGGGGGGGGGGGGGG